TATATAGCCTATATATATATATATATATATATATATATATATAAACCTGGTACATTTCAAAATGTACCTGGAGTGTTTTCTCAACCTTTCCTTTCCTCTCATCATAAAAACGGAGCCCCGCACACATGATATGCAGGGAAAAAATAGCCATTCACATCGCCTCTTTTGCACGCTCAGGTTCATTACTTCAAATGTAGAGACGCTGCAAGCACACACACTGCACACTACTGTGCCGCATTACGGCTCTGACGAGGTTTTGTTTCTGCCGGTCGGTGCCCACTGCATAACGTGCACTTGCAATATCTGAGAGAGAGGGAGAGCATCCAGTTTTGTTGACATAAAACTGGACGTGCTGGCAGCACTCTCTCACTCATATAGTTAGTGAGGGAAATCCACCTGCGATCCAAGTGGAGAGGTTCCTCGTGCTTCCCCATCTTCATAGAGAACGCGGTTCATGGTTGCTCAGAGCACTTTGGAAAGAAGGTGAAAATGGCGTGGCTGTGATTTCCACGCATTTTTAGACGCTGGGAGCAGGGAAATCTACATAGAGCGCCTTATTGTAATAATTAAAATATCGATATTTGGCGCCAGATATCGGTTCTCGTATCGCATGGAGAAGGACAACGATATATCGCCATATCGATATATTGTCCCACCCCTACAAATTATATTATTAGTATAACAATTTGAGTTAAGTGAAAAATTTACATGAATTTCATTAATTTCAATGGAGGCAAAAAATAAGGTTCAGTAGAACGCTGAACCTTAGAATTCTCAGAATTCTTTGAATAGAAAGTTCAAGAGAAAAGCAAATTAATCATTTTATTCTTGGACTTATTAAAACCAACATATATAATTGCTTATCAACTTTATATATAGCCTATATATATATATATATATATATATATATATATATAAAAACCTGGTACATTACAAAATTTACCTGGAGTGTTTTCTCAACCTTTCCTTTCCTCTCATCATAAAAACGGAGCCCCGCACACATGATATGCAGGGAAAAAATAGCCATTCACATCGCCTCTTTTGCACGCTCAGGTTCATTACTTCAAATGTAGAGACGCTGCAAGCACACACACTGCACACTACTGTGCCGCATTACGGCTCTGACGAGGTTTTGTTTCTGCCGGTCGGTGCCCACTGCATAACGTGCACTTGCAATATCTGAGAGAGAGGGAGAGCATCCAGTTTTGTTGACATAAAACTGGACGTGCTGGCAGCACTCTCTCACTCATATAGTTAGTGAGGGAAATCCACCTGATCGAGCGGAGAGGTTCCTCGTGCTTCCCCATCTTCATAGAGAACGCGGTTCATGGTTGCTCAGAGCACTTTGGAAAGAAGGTGAAAATGGCGTGGCCGCGATTTCCACGCATTTTTAGACGCTGGGAGCAGGGAAATCTACATAGAGCGCCTTATTGTAATAATTAAAATATCGATATTTGGCGCCAGATATCGGTTCTCGTATCGCATGGAGAAGGACAACGATATATCGCCATATCAATATATTGTCCCACCCCTACAAATTATATTATTAGTATAACAATTTGAGTTAAGTGAAAAATTAACATGAATTTCATTCATTTCAATGGAGGCAAAAAATAAGGTTCAGTAGAATGCTGAACCTTAGAATTCTCAGAATTCTTTGAATAGAAAGTTCAAGAGAACAGCATTTAGTTAAAACAGAAATCTGTTTTTAAACAATTTAATGCCTCCTTGTTGAATAAAACAATTAATTGGAAAAAAACCCCACATTTGAATGATAGCTTATATCTAATATCATTGGATTAACATTTTTCAAAAATGTAAGGTTCAGGTTCAAACTAAATTGATTTTCAATGCAGAGTTTGGACTACTCTGTATGATTGCACCATTTGATTCTTCAACGGTCTGAAGTGGTTAATAGAGGCCTTGCTGTGACTTTTATGATTTACATGATTCAGTCATAACCTAACCACAGTGATGAACAACGTGTGGGCCATACGTGACATGCATCAGGTTGCAGGAACTGAGCTAGAAGCAACTGTAACCTGATGCTGATTCAAACAGCCATTAAGAAAGGGAAAAAAAGTCACCTGTGCTTTTGAGAGGAGAGAGCGGTGAATGTAATGAATATTTCATAAGCCGGTCCCTTATCAGATGCCAATTTTCCATTGCAGGCCTTCGGGACCTATATTTAACCACTTTTGTAACGTAAAGACTATGTGTGCTACAAGATAGAGTTTGTCAGGCCGTGTGGCCCCTCTTTCTCTTATCTTTAGCACACAGACAGAATATGGTATGAATGTTTACGCTGCGATGAATGCGCTTCCTGTCTCGCAAAATAATACAGCCTACATATAGCGCAATCGAATGACAAGGTTAGCATTCAGGATTGAAATTAAATGCAAAAAAAAAAGAAGTGCATGTAGTTTTTCACTGAATTTACCTTTACAGGGGATTACAGGCTGGCAAGGGGGTCATGTGTCAAAACTGCGTAATCACAAGGAGGTAAAAAAAAAAAAAAAAACGGCAAGCCAGCTACAGTGGCTACATTAATTTAAATAACCATCATTATCATTATTAATAATCATTATCATTAGGAGAATCATGATCATACCGGTGAGTAGAGACGTGACTACCTGAGGCGTCCCGATCCCGCCCGTGTCAGTCACGAGGACCGCTGCCCACCGCGCATGGCACTCTACATGTTAGCGTAGCGCCCTGCTAGCGGCCACTACTACACACAGCACAGACAGCGTGTGAAGCCAGACTGTTTAGTAGCACACTGGCATGTAATGACTTATGTCCTCCAGTCCTCAAAAGGTAGAAGAAAACAAAAAAGGAAAAAAAGAAACTGGGAAAGGAAAGCACAACCCAAACTTTAAGGACCTTTTTTTTTGCAATATTGCTAACAAGCTTTCAAGCAGATATTACATGCTTGAAAGTTAGCCTATTTGTTTTAGAAATGCTCTCAAATGACTATTTATTATTTTTCTAATTAAATTTATATTTTTCAATTTTCTTTCTGTGTAATTCACTTTCTATAAATAAATAATTACATTTTTCAAACTGTTTGACAGACTAAGAGAGAACACAAATATTATTTTAGTTGAAGTAATGTGATTAGCTTCAAATTAGGGATGTGCGCGATGACTAATTTGACTGTCGTTTAAACGAAAGTTTTGTATCCGACTAGTCGACTAGTCTAAAAGCAAGAAACCCCCAAAAGATGGTAAGAAAAAACACCTCAGTGCGTGCGTGTAGCATAAATAATAGCCTATATTTGAAATATTTAATCTATGAATCACACTGTCAAATCCCTCAATGAATTACGCTTGCCGCACACTTGCCTCGCGTTATCATCATTTCATTTTAAGTGGTCGTTAAAAAGAAATAAAAGAAGAGCATACACTCAACGTCGGTCAAAGCATAGCTTATTTATTCAAATCAGCTGAGGAAATGCAGAACAATGGAAAATCAATCAATAGCCTGACAGAATTCTTAATCTTCATATAACGTTAGTTAACATATTAAAACAAGTCAAAAACAATAGGAAGGTTTATCAAGAAATAGCATTAAAACGGCTTTTAAAAACATACTTTGTGTAGGCTATATTGTTTAAAAACAAAACAATGCAACAATGCCCATTTTACTTCCTCAGACCATGCGTTATTTGTTCAGTGAAATTATCCACGTGGTCTGGTGAAAGACGGGACCTGAGGCGATTAACTATAAAATTCCTGCACTTGAAAAAATGCGCTCGGCAGGAACTGAAGTCGCAGGCACGCAGAGATAACGAAAAGCAAGCCGATAAGAGTTTCAGAAAGCGCCTGGACATCCCGCACCACCACCACCGAAGTGGGTCTTCGTTAGAGGAACAGACGGCGCGGATGGGATCGCAGTGCCGGCGGGTTGTAGTGAATGATGTGATTGACATTTGCTGGCTTTGGCCAGTCTCTAACGCCTACGTGCCTGTATTGAATATGATTACGCATCGCTCCAACAGAGTTATTGTAAGACAATTTGACAGTACACAGTTTATACAAAACTTTTCCGTTTCCTTCTAATTAAAAATAATCCCACACCTTCTCGTCTTTCGCATGGTCATTTTTGAACTCGCCACAACTGACACGAAGAAAACGCATGTGAGGTCTGAGGTAAAAATTTAGCTTCCGCCCAGATAAACTTTTTAAAGTAATGCATTATTTTTCAAAAGTTTTATGTTAACTTGTTATTTAAAATGTTTTAAATGCAATGTTAAAATTATGAATGATAAAATCGACTATTGTCTTCAGTGTCGACTAGTAGGAGCTGTACCGTTTAGTCAACTAGTCAACTAGACCCGCACATCCCTACTTCAAATATATCGGCTTCAAAGAAAGAATTTTTATCCTGAAAGTCTTCAATTGTGCTTTCGGTCTAAATGCTGTCATACCTTGAAAAAGTAACGCAATATACCATGGCTAAACTCTCCCATTTGTACTAGATGGTCACTAGGATAAAGAATTTTATTGTAATAAGGCTGTCATTGCTAAAAACAAAAAAGACTGACAAACATTGGTAATAACACCCCAATGATGCAAATTCTGGTTTTTGCACACTAAGAGGCGAGTATCATTTTAGTTCAGTTTGTGAAATACAACAAAAAAGAGCCAATGCAAAATTAAGTCAAAAATGCATCTACATGAAAGATGTAGCTGGGACTCCTACCTGCTAAACCAGCGGACAGCATGTGAACCTGTGTGGAGTCAGGATCAAACACATTGTTCAACTTCTCTTTGGCTGTGGAGTAGGCAGCAAAATAAATTGCTCTGTGGACAAAACAGGAATTAACAGCATGAATTGGTTTTGATGTTCTGTTATGTCTGACAAATGTATCAGAAGTAGAAGGAAAAACAAGTTGTATTTATTTAAAGTGAGAATAAATATTTTTTAGATATGTTTTCACATTAATATTTTTGGGTAGGGCTAGGGCTGAATGTACATTATCCCTCTCCCTACATAGTTTCTAACAAAACTAAAAAAAACAAACAAAAAAAACATTATTTCTATGGTTATTTACATTAATACCATACATTATTTCCCTTGCTACAATGTTTCAAACCAACCCCCCACCCCCCCCACCCCCAAAATATATTTTTGGGAAGGGTTAGGGCTGACTGTACATTATCCCACTTATTACAGTTTCTAACAAAAACAAAAAACAAAGCTAAATGGTGTGATGTGGCAAAAGTACGTCATGCTCATCATATTACATGTCCTGTATTAGCTACCAGATTTATTTTATTAGGGCAAATGCTGAAACACACTTGGAAAAAAAGTTATTCAAATGAAAATATCCAATGTAGGATTTAATGTAGGGAGTTTTTTTCCCCCCTTTGCTTTAATCTAGGTTACATAATTCTTGCACGCACACAACAAGGGTAAATTTTAAGGTCTCACTGTTTCCTGATGAGATGCTTATAAACACCTGCTTCCTCCCACCTCTTCAAAGCGACAACCAATCAGCATTCTTCCACATTTGACTGACACCCAATCAGATCACGGTCTAAATATCTGCCAATCCTGTGAGAGCACAATGCTGTATTTTGGTGCATGGCTTAATTTGGCCATCTGAATGAAATAACGTGACCTTCACGTGAGGATTTTACATAAATAATCTCAAACCGGATTAATCTAAAAACTGGAATTATGGATTTCGATCTAAAGTGTATAGTTAACAGTCAGTATGTGAGCATAAGCACAAGCCTTATTTTTTTACATACGTGTGCATTTAATCTTTACGTAATGCAAACAGTCACGAGGCAGACATTCCAGCTGTGACAGCAGAGGACAAACAGGATGGGAATGCTGAGAAATGCATGCACAGATGGAGGCACACACACACACCTCATGCAGCATGAAAAGGGTGCAAACTGCAAACACTGAAATTCAGACATTAAGTGGCTTAGTTGCAATACCATCTCTCACATACCAATTTAAATGCGATTAAACTGCACAGACATGCACATAAAGCTCAAGTGAATGAGGGCATGAGAGCAGCTAGTCTGTAGTATAATGACACACTGCAGTCAATGAAAAAAGCACAACTGTTTAATAAGGGAGACAGGGAATATTCACTGGAGTTAACGAGTCGCTACACTCATACAGAGCAGAGAATGTGATCACAGTCCCACAAACACTACTAAACACAGTAGCTATTTTATAATACCTACAGTTTTACTACTGTAAAATGCTGCATCAGTGTTTCCCATACATTGATTTATTTGTGGCGGCCCGCCACAATATCAACAATGACCGCCACAAATAGTTTTTCTAAAATGCTTTGACTTAATTGAATAACATGAGCTCTCATTTCAAAGTCAAAACGCGGCACGGGTGTTTTTATATGAATGTATCTTTGAAGGGAACTGACCGTCTTTAGAAAAGTTTAAATGTCATTTTCATTTAATCTTTCCTAATATGCCTGATGAAGCAGCGTTTATGAGCGGAGCGCTACTTTGATTACAGCCGTTACTGGGGGAACCGCTATTTCTGCCGCTCCAAAAGCGCCTCCTGTTGGCAGAGAATGAATGTGCATTTTCAATAATCCCATCTGCTGTTTTATATAGCCTGCTTCCCCCGGTGGAAGTGCCGCCACACATAGAGTGTAAGTCTGTGGGAAACACTGTGCATCCATAGCTCACTAGGTTTTTGGAACCGATTAAGTGAGTGTTATAGATTTAGGAATCAACTCTACAGTTGAATTACAAGCTCTTAACTGTCAAGAGTGAGTAGGGCTGCATGATTAATCTAAATTAAATCTCAAAGGTGATAAATCGCGATTAAGCAGACGCTGCAATTGTCATGCGTATCTTTCACTGAAGCACGGTTCTGTGATCAGCAGTAAATCTCTATCCGAAGGCGAGAGGGCACTCTCGCGCTGAAACTCCAAATACGCCCGCAGAAGAAATCCCTATAGCGGTTGCTGAATAAACAGAAGATTTAACTGTTTTCATTGATTCAACGTGACTAATAAACACACGACTACGACAATATGATTTATCGGAGTTTGTCATCTTATAATGTTTATTATAATAAAGTATATAATAATGCAATACTAATCGACATAACCTTTATCACTGCTTAGAATACTATGAAATATGTTGTGTGCCTTATTCTGTGTAAGAAGCAACATCATCTCACAGAAGGATTTATTTCAAACACTCAACTGACGTTATGAAGTGAGTTTGGAGTAAAAACATTTTATTAAATGTGGTATTTTCACGTGCTTTCAGATGAAACAGCATTTACTACACAGAGCCGTAGTTCACTGAGAAGCTACGCAAACAGCTTTCATAAATCGCGAAACGATTTCTTCGATTTCATGATTATATTATCTGCGATTATGAACATGATTTTACGTAGCTTGTCAGTTAACTACGGCTCTGTGGAGTAAATGCCGCTCCATCTGAAAGCATGTGATGGAGATTTACTACTGATTACAGAACCGGCTTTACTGACAAGATGCGCATGACAATCACATTCGATTAATCGTGCAGCCCTAAGAGTAAGTTAACAAAGTGAGCAGTGTGACAGAGGGCCCATAGCCAGTTTAGTCCACAATAAGACAGTGACATGATCCCCTGGTGATGATACACTGAGATTAGAGCAATGAGACATGACCAACGGGCCCTTATGTAACAGTTTGAGGGGGGAAAACAGTATTTTTTATTTTCCATCTCGATTGCAGTGAGGAAATACAGCAAATCCCAAAAGGAAACAGTGAGGAACACATATCCAAAAACAACCATTTATTATTCCATGGCGAAGTGAAAACATCTCATGAGTCAAAAACGTACGTAGGTAATAGTGCGCTACAGTAAGGTTCCAGAAGTAAAAACCCTTTTTATTTTCCCCATAGGGAAATAGATTTTGAATTAGGGATGTTCATTTTAACCGTTTAACCGACAGTAAGAATTTTGACCAATTAATACAATCAGTTAAATGGTTTAAAAAGTAATTTAATGATTTATTTTTTCAGTAATTTATCAAAATATTTAAAAAGGTTTGCTGTATGGTTGAGATACATACAGCTACGCATATAAAAAAATTGTTTTTTAGGGGGAAAAAACTTAAGTCACGTCTAAGGACGATGTCAAATAAGAGCTCTGTGCGGACCACAAACACCCCCGACTGGGTTAGGTGTGTGCTGAATCCGTATTCAGAAAGGCGCAGAAAATAACACGTTCTACGGAGCCACTAAAGGGACATGGTTAGCCGCTTGCTAACGGTAGCCTGTTACATTACAGTACATAACATTTCACTTACCACATAAACAGAGTAAGGAGAGATGACTTATAGGATGATGGCGAATGATTTGCAGATCCTGAGCACCACTGACAAACATCTAATCTTGTAAAATGTGTGGTAAGTACTGCCGAGTGCTGCTCCGTTTGTGATCGCACTGAAACCAACGTTGGGTCTCTCATTCCACACAAAATCAAATATTTTCGTATTCACGATGTATTTGAATGGCAAATTATTATTTATTATGTAGCCTAGGCTTCACTGGCGTTCCAATTTCCACGTAAAACAAAATGTTTTGCATAACATCACGGCGGTGTGGTGATAAAACTTAATGGCACAGATTTTACAAAAAAAATTTTCTGAAGGAGGGACTTGTGCTGACCAGCATTATACAAAATAGGTGAAAGTTAATGTTTTGCCTTCAGAAACAGACATGTTCAGACTCTTCTAGAATTTCTCTTTCAGAAGTTGGTTTGAAAAAAAAAAAAACACTGCATCTTTAACAAATTTTCTCCTGACCTACTTTTCAATCTTTTTTTTCTGATTCTGGAATAATACAATAGGCATGAATATCACTGCTTGCCGGAGGCCAAAAAAGTTAATCCAATCCTGGAGAAGACAGCAAGGCTACACCCAGAAACCATAGCACTGCAACCACCAAATGTGACTTGCAGAGCACTCTTAAGTGTACTCTCTCGGCTAGACTAGTCTCATGGGGCCAAATAATAGAAATAGGCCAATTTCGGACCATAAAACATTTGAATTTAGTGTATAACATCTTTATCCATTTAATTCATGACCACAGGTCAATGTGAAAGACTGTACAAAGTTTTTTACAGAATTCTTAGCAACATAATTTTATACTTTGCATTAGCAAGAAATACATTTTTATATTATTCAGTATAACATTTTCTTTAGACAAGTTATACACAAATTATTAGGTTTTCAATTTGTAATATTTCTATAATGTAACTCCATGACAGATATATATTTAAAAAAAACTTATGCTAGTAAAAGATTCTAGGAAATGCATAAAGAAAAACTTGTCTACGTTAAACTCTCACCTAATCCAAATGTTTAGGGTTTACAAGGCATAAAAACACATCCAAATGTTGAATTAATATACGAGGTAGTGATGACTGGGCAAGTGACAGTGTCATCTACTGGCTCAAAACATTGTCATTGTTGATCTAAAAACATTTCAACTGCCCTTCATCATAGGCCCAGCAAACATTTTAGCAGAACATGGGCAGATGCAGGTATGCTGCTGGCATTCAGAACATTAGCCATCTTTCTCTCATTGTTCTGACTAGGGATGGGTCATGATTTTCAAATATTCGATTAGTTGATTTAATTATAGAATATCGAATGGGTTGTGCGATTATTGTCTTAAAAAATGTCCCCATGTTTTCCGTGCTGATGCGATGGTTCATGTGGCGCTGCCAATAACGCACCTAAAGCTGTCAAAGACAACAGAAGAACACATTGTCTCATGCGCACACTGTACACTTGCGTGGCATAAAAAAAGACTTCCGTAGCATATAATGGTTACAGCAACTTGGGACGATGTCAAATAAGAGCTCTGTGCGGACCACAAACACCCCCGACTGGGTTAGGTGTGTGCTGAATCCGTATTCAGAAAGGCGCAGAAAATAACACGTTCTACGGAGCCACTAAAGGGACATGGTTAGCCGCTTGCTAACGGTAGCCTGTTACATTACAGTACATAACATTTCACTTACCACATAAACAGAGTAAGGAGAGATGACTTATAGGATGATGGCGAATGATTTGCAGATCCTGAGCACCACTGACAAACATCTAATCTTGTAAAATGTGTGGTAAGTACTGCCGAGTGCTGCTCCGTTTGTGATCGCGAATCTCGAAAGTGAAAGTAAATAAACAAGCGCGCGTTCATAAGCGATTTCAATGCCCCGCATATTAATAACGGCTCCCTGATGCCCGCAGTTTATATACAGTATAATTACACAACGATATAATTGCAATAGAAGATATTGAAGTATATGTTTCCTCCCATCTCATATCTATTCCCTTTAGGGATTACATTTTTTTTAAATGGAAATGCCCTTATGAGCAGTTGATTTATGCTAATCAACGGACTGTTATGTTAATAAGTACCGTCATTCAGTTATGTTTATTATATTAATGTTTCAGCATGTTACAATCATTATATGGCTTGAGTTAAGGTAGCCTATCTTCTGAATTAAACAGTTTATCATACAGATTGAATGCGTGAATCCCATCTCTCTCCATCTCTCTCTGTTTATGGGTGTTTGTGCGTGCTTGCGGGGGAGGGGTGCGATTTTCGATTATTATTTTTGCATGGAATGCCCATCCCTAGTTCTGACACTCTTGCCTCTATGGTCACTACAGATGGTTGTCATTTACCGTCAGCAAGAGAGACCCATAGAGAGACTGAACAGAGAACAGCTTTGATTGCAAATTCAAAGTCTAGAATACTGTTGATCATCAAGATTCTTTAAACAAGAGATTTCTAGTGTTTTTGCTAGTTTTCATGTGTTGTTTTTGAAACATCTTAACACTGGTTCAAATGCCCTGGAGCATAAAAACCAGGTTTTGTGAGGTTGGGTTTTGAAGTACTCACTTGAGACAGTGCAGAGGCCCCGGTGGGGACATGCGGGCCACACTGGCCCCGTTCACAGTGCTGAGCTGAACCTCAGAGATGTAAAGAGTCACCGAAGAAGACTGCAGCCTCGTCTTCACCACCTCCAACGGACATGTCAGAATTGCACCAACAGTGCCACCACAGCTAGAGACAGAGTGTAAATATTAGAATCCACTTTTATTTACACAATATAAATTGTAATGAAAAACTAGTTAATTTGAAAAAAAAAATCACCTTTTTAAACTATTAAAAAATTATTAGGCTAATGCAAGAAAATACAGAAGTCAAAAATAATCAAGCATGATTTCCACACAATTTTTTTCTAAATTGTACATATTTTAACATTTTATTTCTGTGATGGCAAAAAAATAAATAATAATAATTTCAGCAGCCATTACTCCAGTCTTAAGTGTCAAAAATCATTCTAATATATTATCAATGTTGAAAACAGTTGTTCTGCTTAATGTTTTTTGCAGAAACTGCGATACATTTTTATCTGTAATACATTGAATAGAAAGTTTAAAAGAACAGTAATTAATTGAAATTAAAATCTAACATTGTAAATGTTTTTTTTTTGTCATGTTTGAGCAATTTAATGTGTCTTTGCTTACTGACCCCAAACTTATGAACTTTTTAATATTTTAATAGATGAAAACAGCCATTTTGGAGAGATGATGCAAATTAATCATTGAACCGATTCATAAATTTTTTTAAATGTACAGACCATTATACATAACTACTTTTACATATTCTGACATTTTATGCATTTTGCTGTTGTCAAAAAACACTACAGGATCAAAAACGTCTTCTGGCATGAAGCTGCTGACATAAAAGTGTGTTGCATTTTAGGTGTCAGAGCATTTTACCTTCTGCTGACATCCACAGTGATTAGACTTGACTAACATCTGTATGTGGGTCAAGTTTAACATGTATTTGTTCAGGTACATGTACAAGTGGGCCCAGCATGCATCAAGTCAAAGGTTTGGCCTGGACAAGACCTACAATCACAAAATTAAAAGTCAGCATGAAACAGAGGTTCTGATTATCTTTGTGATGAATTAAAAAATATATTGTGCACAAATAAGTAATTTATAATAAACAACACTGCAATATTCAATACAAAAATTAATTGTACATTTTGGTTTTAATGTTCACATTAGGAATGCACTGACTTTCAAATTCTTATAGCCCGATATAATGGCCAAGAGCAGATACTAGTATGAGCATCACTACTATGAACCTAAACTACTTTGTCAAAAACTAAAATAACTGTTTGTATGCTACAAGTAAATGTATAGTATATACAAATTTGGATATAGATTTATCGGCCAACATATCGGTTATCGGCTTTAAAAAATAAAGAATTATCGGTTATTGGTATCGGCCAAAATTTTCATATCGGTGCATCCCTAATAATGTGCCATAGAAAAAAGGCTGAAATTATATGAAAAACATAGTGTTTGAATTAGCGATGGAGCGTAACATTTTTGTCATATTCTATCACTAATTTATCACTATTTATCATTCAGCATTGGATAATAAATAGCCAATATCGCCTGATAACATAAAAAAGTGTCCAATTACAGCACTTATATAGGCTATGCTTTCCCTAAATGTAAAAAAAAAACAACAACCATAAAATATTATTTTTAATTTTTTAAGTCAATGATATTTGTCAACTAACAATTTACAGTAACAGTTGCATAGTTAGGTGTTATTTTTAACTCTGTCACAAGTTTCTAAAAAATATTATTGCTGTGCACTGACGAGGGAATCTCATTTCCACTGCTGAGTGATTATCTATATCACAGAACAATCGATTTGTTTATCACACAGTTCTTTCCAGTGGCAGATGAATTCACTGCTCACAGTTATCCTTATGCTCACAGTTATCCTAGCTATAACTCATCACCAGTTATTCTGACATGCAATAGGTATGAATGAACTAATCTGAAAACATACCAACCAACACTATACGCGACAAAACCCTTTAAACACACTGTCAGGATATATAATCCCATGATGGGATTTTGCCCACATATTCTGCTGTTATTATAAGCTTCTAGTTAGACCTCTTATCGCCCTGCAGGGTCGGAGTAATCAAATGATCTTCAGAGATCCAAGCTTGTCAAAGAGCGATATGCTCCCCTCATATCTTTTACATTCCTGATTGAGAAAATTTGTGAGGCAGTAACCTTTGATTCAAAGAGTGAGAAGAAAATGTTGCTTGCATGAGCCTCACAGAATGTAAAAGAGCAGCCAGGGACATGCAGGAATGAGAATGGAGTCAAAAATAGCTGTAAGTTACTATAGTAGAGATTGCTGTCAAACATCCAAGCTGAAACCACAGTCCTACAACAAAGCTTCTGATTTGCTAGAGGAAATGGTATTGCTTTAGATTCACATTCAGCTTGAAGCCTCGAGTTGTTCCTGTCTCTTATGTTATATCTGCATGGCAAAAGCATGAATGAAAAGCAAAGCAACAACACTTCCTGTATAACAGAAAACGGCCATGTCTAGAGACTTCCAGAGGATTCTGTGGCAACACCAGAGGAGATGCTGAATCTGTTGCATGACCTTGCATTCACAAATAAAGCATCGATCATCTGTAGCATGGAGACATGCTGACAGAAGCTAGCTAGATTTTGTACAGCAATGCTGAATGAGCATCTACCTGACCTTTTATAACGGTCAACCTGTTTTTTTTTTTGTTTTTTTTTTTACAAGTAATGTGTCTTATATTACATTTCAAAAACAATCAAGCCCAACTGCAACGAATAAATGTCAAAGAGAGAGGCGTCAGGTTGACAGCGGCGATAGATCGGTCTGTCTCAGGCTCGCAACTCACCCTCCAGCAAACAGATGAACCAGGGTGTCCCTCTGACTCATCCTTTAGCATTCTCCGCACCCACACCCAGGCCTGCAGTGCGAGCAAGAGCCGGACAGCTCCGCCGAACCCGCTGCGATTCTGCTGTACCTCTCAGTTTAATTGATGTGGATGAGGATTATAAAGCACACAGTTGTTGAGCCCGACGTCTCACGGGCGAGATGCGGCTAGCTCAGCCCGCTAACGGCTGCCGATGTGCGCAGACGCCTCTTTTTTACCTCTAACCGGTCCGTTTTTAATTTATCACGATCTTTTCCTTTAAACAACACAGACAGCTCTCTGATATCGAGGTTGTGGTTGCAGGGGGCTCGTTTTTGTGGAGCTAAATCCGCGTTGAGTCGGTGGTGTCTCTGATTCAGAAGCTGAAGAGCTGACTGAGATGGACAGCGGAGTCGCTATTTACGAGCCAATCAGCAACCGCAAAACAGAGGCCGCGATTGGTCCTTTCGCGGCGTGACGTCTCTTTGCCCCGCCCCATCATGCTCCTTTCTCATGATCACGCAATTGATAAATCGTAAATATTGATTTAGCCCGTTTTCAGAGGTTAAGATACATATTTGCACATTTGTTTATAAGGTGAATTTAACTCTGCCTGCTATTATAGTGCCCCAGAAACGATAAATGGTATTAGTTTAACAGTACAGAATCATATTTCTAGCTGAGAATGAATGAGGGCATTCATAGCGGGCTGTTCAGACATATTATTTTTGGTGTATTGTGATACTCTCAGTTTATGCACTAAGGGTCTGCACGTGCACTTGGTTTCCCTCACACGGAAAAATATTGGTTACTGATCAAGTTTAGGAAGGAAGACATTTAGGGACATGTCCCCCCCATCAAGATGATGGAACATAAATGGATTTTTGACACTTTTTAAACAGATTGCCCCTTTTTTTATCTGTTTGACACAAAAGCTACCTTTTTTGTTGGTAATTTGTGTATTAATATTAGGATTGACATGATCATGGAGAACCTGGAATTATCAGGAAATTATCAAAGTGTGATTAAAATCAGAGAAATCATTAATCACTTAAAAAATCACTTGAATCCTTAAATTGCATAACTTCTAATTATGCTCAGTTCAACAATATTTATTGGACATACAATATTTATTTGATATATCTCTATGTGAGACATTTCTAGTCAAAAGAAAAATCAGATTCAGAAATGCATGAAAAAGTTATAGCACTTCATAGGCCAAAAGGAAAGGGAATACTGTAATATGTAAATTAATGAAACCTCAGAGGACCCCGTGTCTATCAGCTGACAAGAGTTACAGCATCAAAAATCTGGTTTCCTTACTAAATAGCTGAATAAAGTGCACATGCCTCTTGGTTTCAAGATTAGAGCTACAATTGAACAAGTTCAGATCATGTGCATGGACAATCTAATTTCTCTTGGCATGCCAACCTAATGGAATACAATGAGAAAGTTCTTCAGACAGGGTCTTCGATCCGTTTCTAGAGTTAAAATTGTTTAGATGATTGACTGATGACCACTTCTTTCTTTTATAGATAAGGCTATGATATTCACAAGGCTATACAGTATAAGAACAATGACCTTATATTAGGAAAAATCACAGCCTTTTACCGAAATGAGCAACTGGTGTGATTTCAGCGAGGTTGCATTAGGCAGTCGTACTGATATTTTTCATTATTATTTAGACTTTATTTAGAGCTTTCAGCATTTCTACTAAAAGGACAGTGGAGAAGTGATGATAAAACATGAAGAGGATGGAACCACTAAATGTCTCTTTCAAGCCAACTGGCAAATATAATTGTCTTAAATCCTAAATTAGTGAAATAACTAAATATGTTATCAGCTTCATGTCATTTTCATCTCATGCTATGAGTAGTGTCACAAGAAACCTGCAATAAAATTAAAGTTTGATGTGCAGCACCTTGTAATTCATTAGAACTTACATAACTACTCTTGTAGCAATGTGCCTAAACTTGTGCTGGAAAAAATAGGTCTGTGATTAACTGTGCGGCACATTATTCCAACCCATCTATTGCCAAAGGGAACAAAGTTCACCATCAAACATAACAGTAGTATGTGCAGTTCATTTAAATTCTATTTCTAACAATTGTCGTATACTATTGTCATTTATAAAAAATTGTTTTGAAATACATTGTTGAAATCTTTAATGTATTGCCTTTAACTATAAATTCAAGTCCTCATATCTTAATATTAAACCATAGAAACATCTGGAGACCAATGGTCAGCAGAAGAACTTTGTTTAACATAGATAAGAATTCTAAAATTAGATTGATCTATAGGGTCAGTCACTCAAAACACCATATGAAGAAAACTTGCTTGACCTTGTCTGACCATATTTCTTTGATTATTTGATTTCAGTGTTTTTTTCAACTAAATGTATTATACATTATAAATATTTATTCTTGTTATAAATGTATTTAACTTTTGATTTTGAATTACAACAATAATGCATCAAATTAATAAATCATTTCAAGTGTAAAATGTCCCATGCATATTCTGATGTCTTCATTTAATAAGAATACCTTTTTTTCTTATTTAATGCTCATACCAACAACTGGTATGATATACAATTTCTTGTATAAGCAATCCTACCTGGTCAGTAAAAACCTGTTATGATTCTGATGTCAAAATCTGTGAGTCTGCAGAGAAATGGAAATAAGATGTTTCATAAGATGATCATAAGATAGTTTCATAAGATGATCAGAAACTGCTGCATAATTAATGGCTGGATGAGCAGTTCACGTGTGCACATTCCAAGCCATCAGATTGCACATTAACCTCCTTTAACCTTCAAAAGTCTTCAAATATTACATAAATTCGATTTTTAATGCTAGCACTTTTCTAATAATTCAAAAGAAATGTTGTAGTAATTTTAATACTGGTTCCTAAAAATCTCAAATATATTGAAAACTTTATTAATTCATCAGTTAATCATTTAGATTCATAAAAAAAGATGACAAAGAATGTAAAAAAAAGAATGATCAGCATGTAAACACGAAGTCACCTGACAGGTAGCATCTCGGACATCATACTACATTGCTTCAACAATGTTACATTGAGTAGTTTCTCAAACCAGGCTTTTGTTACTTGACCAGACCCAAATAAAGACATGAGATGGCTGTAACATTACCATAATACACATCCCGTGTTTCCCACATAGATAACGAGAGTCCTAGCCAGATCTCATGATGTTTAGGGTGGGTCTGGTGCGAGTTATCTTCTAATAGAGCGCACGTTTTCCAGCTCATATGACTCATATGAGTCCTGAGTGAAGCCTTTTGCTGCTCAGTATCTGATCAGCTACACTAATCTGTCATTCTGTAACTCACATGACAGACAGCAACAGATACTAAAGCTGGGCCAAAGCAGAGAAGGTCAATCAAAGCCTGTACATATTGCCATGATTGTATGTGCTGGTAAAATAAGCCTATTGGTTATGTCAACTCTTTTATACTATTTTTAAAACACTTTTTTGAAAGTTTTAATACTGTGAACATTATTATGCGCAGAAAGTTTTATATGTTTTCTTAAAAGTCCTACATAATGTCTTTCAATAATCATATTTTTATTTTATTTTATTGCTGAAAAGTATTTAGCAAATTCTTGCTTACAATTCAAATAAGTGAAGCCAGCTTTGCTGTGGCTATAAGGCATTACTGGAAAAATGAATGTTCAAGGTTGTTTGATGACTATGGGATGTCACATTTTTGGTGTTGTGTGTTTGTTTGCCTTTTTTAGACTTTGACATGATGATGATGATAACCAAAATGTCGGGACAGAACACAAAGTGAAGCACAGGTCAAATCACGTTCAAATATGCACAGTCCACCAGCATGTAGGTTAGTCTTACAAAGTTTACAGATCTTTCTCTGGTTAAATTTTAGTCAAAGTGAAATGGTAACATTAGAGTGATTTGGGCTGAACCCTGGATGATTGTTGCCATCATTTGATTAAGTCTTATCTACACATTTGACCATAAAATAAGATACAACTTCGGCTTGATGAATCAAAATATTTATAGGGCCAAAATTATTATTTAGAATAATACCTTTCATGCAATTTTCTTGTTGTAATATCCTCTCTGACCACGAGATGTCACCATTTGATCGCCAATTTAAAGTAATTCGCTTCTGTTGGCCAAATATTTTTTGAGATATTGTGGACTTCATCTTTACTCTTGGTGAGGAAAATAAATAAACAAATACAATTGTGACCACAGATTGATGGTGAGTGTCATTTGAGATGATAGTAGGTTTACAGTAGCAGAATCTAACTCATATAAAATTGATACTTTGTCCTCATGAATTACAGTAATCAAGTCTGGACAATTTTTGATTTGCATTGTCAACAATATTTTTAACAGGCTGTGTGTGTTTGCAGTTTGATCATCTAAAAGATTGTTGTGTGTGTGTGTGTGTACTGGTTTATATACTGTATCCTGGTGGGGACTTAAACCTGACTACAAAACCATGTCCACCTAAATTGTGGTCCCCACGGGTACAAAAGCTTATAAATCATGCAGAATTAAGTTTTTTTGAAAATCTAAAAATGCAGAAAGTTTCCTGTGAGGGGTAGGTTTAGGGGTAGGGTTGGTGTAGGGCAATAGAATATATGGTCTGTACAGTATAAAAACCATTACGCCTATGGAGAGTCCCCACAAGGATAGCTGACCAGACATGTGTGTGTGTGTGTGTGAAGATATGAGAGCTATTCTGCCTCTTTAGCCTTCTTCTCATTTCATTCTCTCTTTTCATCCACCCCTCCCTTGTTCTCTCTTTCTCCGTCCTCTTTAAATTGGGTCAGACTGGGTTCTCTCAGATCTAATAAGTGTCTTAGTAGGAAGCACCCTGCTCCCACCTCCCCCCTCTGCTGCAGAGAGTGTCATAACCGCAGGAGAGAGGGCTTTCTGAAGCAGGAAGAGAGGAGAGGAGGGTACCACACTCACTGAAGTTTTCCTTTCCCACCTCTCTGCTATAGTTACAATGTAACACATCTTTATCGAGGAGAGTATTCTGGTTGACGTATTGCCTGCTAGCTGCCTTTTGTGTCTTTTTAAGTGAAAGATGGCCCCTGTGTTAAGTGGTTAATGCATTTTATTTTTTAGTGCTTTTCTTTTTTTTTTTAAATGTATGCTCTGATAATATTCAAATAGTATTTATTTTAAAATAAGT